GGTTTCGCAACACTGATGTGCTAAAAAAGCTTCCGCGCGAGCTCTTGCGAAATCTTAAGAAAACCATAGATTTTTCAAGATTTTCACAAAATGCTACCAAACGGGCTTCGCGCGCGCATGTCGAAATCTGTCGAACGCCCTTGCGCGTGTGCCGTCGCGAGAATCCTTTTCAAAAAACGAGACGAAGTGCAGACGCGCGCGTCGTCGCGGGCGTTTGCCGAAAGCCTTCAAAACCCATCGGTTTCGGAAGGATTTCAAAATCGTGCGTCCAAAAAACTCGTAAAAACCCAAGGTTTCGCAACACGGATTTTCAACAAAAGCGTGCGCGCGCGCTCTTGCGTCGTCGTCGTCGTCGTCGTCGTCGTCGTCGTCGTCGCCGTCCTCCCTCCTCCCGCGTCGTCGTCGTCGTCGCCTACGTCGTCCTCTGTCTTTTCTCGTGTTCGTCGTCGTCGTCCTCTTTGGCGTCGTGGTCGTTTCCGTCGCCGTTGTCGCCGTGGTCGTTTGTCCTCCTCCTCCCACGTCGTCGTCGTCGTCCGTCGTCGGCGTCTCGTCGTCGGTTCTATTTCGTCACCGTCGTCGTCGTCGTCGTTGTCGTCGTTGTCTTCCCTCCTCCCTCGTCGTTGTCGTCGTCGGCGTCGCCGTCCTTCCTCCTTCGTCGTCGTTCGCGTCGTCGCCGTCCTCCCTCCTCCCTCGTCGTTGTCGTCGTTGTCGTCATTATCGCCGTCGTCGTCCTTCCTCCTCCCTCGTCGTCGCCTTCGTTGGCGTCGTCGTCGTCGTCTTCGTCGGCGTCGGCGTCGTTGTCGTCGTCGAAGTCGTCGCAGACGTCGTCGGTGTCGTCGTCGTCGTTGTCGTCCGCGTCATCGTAGTCGGTCTTAAGAGGTTTTGCAAACCAAGTTGCGGGTGGGAGGGTGGGATGTTTGCGCGAGCAGTGGAGAGGACAGCTTCAAGTTGAGCAAGTGATTGTTGCACCACATAGGTTGCACCACGTACATTGCGCCACATTGGTTAAACAACAGACATTGCGCAACATCGGTTGCACAACATAGGTTCCACCAGATATATTGCACCACGTACACTGTTAGGAACACATCGTTGGGGACCATGCTGGCGAACATCAGAGTGAGGGATGACATGAAGTTTTGCGGTGCGGGGTGTTGTTGGGCTTCCATTTCTAGGAAGACTTGTTGATGATTCCCCCCTACGCGGAACCATTATATTTTTGGATTAAAGTGTTTCCCCCGGGGTTCGCACCTTGTCTTTTCCAAGGGAGAGCTGGGTGTCACTAAGCCCCCTGGCCAACGGTTTACACCAACAGCGGTTCCCGCTTTATTTTTCGTCACAATGTATTCCAAAATCACGCTCTCGCGCGGGATCTCCTCACAATGTACGCAGGAATCGAGTTTTCGCGTGGGACTTCGTCAGAATGTATTCAGACGCCGCGCCCTCGACACTCAGGAATGACGCTCTCGCTAGGGTGTTTCTCACGATCCACTTGGGAATCGCGCTATCTGCGCGACCTGGCCGCCTGGGCCCGCCTTCCCGACCCGCCCGCTAGGGTCTGCCCGTCCGTTCTGCCCATCTGGATCTGCCACGTGTTTTCCGCTCATAGCCCCCCTCCTGCTAATTTCTTTCGCGTTCCATTATTATCCCCCCCATTCCATTCGCCATGTCTTTCGTTGTGTTTGAGGCCGAAATAAATGCACGTGGCAGGTATGGAAGATATACCCGCAAAGGGGGGCATGACTGAAGACGAAGACACGGGGACCAAAGGTTCGGGAGACACGTGTTGAATGGCATGCGAGCACATGGGAACGAACAGTCTTGAATCCATTGTTGTTGTTGGTGGTGTTGTTGTTGATATTGTTGTATTTGTTGTTGGTAGTGGTGGTGTTGTTGGTGTTGTTGGTGTTGTTGATGTTGTAGCCGAAGATTAATTTCGAAATCAAAAAGTATTGCTGGTATCCGGAAACGTTTCCGCGCGCTCTCGCCTCGACGCCGGCTATGTGTTCTTTGAACGCGAGGCTCCCGCTCCAGCGTTGGCTTGAGTCTAAATGTGGGTTCTTGGAGGCCCAGCTACGACGACAACGGCTCCCGCTCGACACATCCGCACAAGTTACCCCGAGACACTCCGCCAGAGAGGCCCCCTGAACTCAGGAACGACGCTCTCGCTCGAGACTCCCTCGCAATTCATTCAAGTTGGCGGAGGCTCAACCACGACGACAAGGGCTACTGCTCGATAGTTCCTCACGATTTACTCCGAGAGCCCCTGGCCAGGAAGGCCCCGAACTCAGGAACGGCGCTCTCGCTTGAGATTTTCTAGCGATTCAGTCAGGTCGGTGGAGGCCCAACTACGACGACAAGGGCTCCCGCTCGATACTCCCTCAAGATGTATTCGCAGAGGCCCTTGCCAGAGAGGCCCCCGAACTCAGGAGTGGCGCTCTTGCTCGAGATTTTCTCGTAATTCAGGCAAGTTGGTGGAGGCCCAGACACGGCGACAAGGGTTCCCGCTCGATGTTTCTCGATATGTATTCCGAGACCCCTTGGCCTGGCCAGAGAGGCCCCAAAACTCAGGAACGGCGCTCTCGCTCGAGAGTTTCTCGCACTTCAGTCAGTGGCCGAGAAGGAGGACATTCCCTCCGAAAGAGGATGCGATCGCAGACGAAGTGGGCGGGTATCGAGGGCTGGGGTATACAGAATGCAAAACACTCGTGCAAGTAAGAGCGAACAGTCGTAAACTGATCGTTGTTGTTGTGGATGATAATGACGTTGTCGTTATGGTTGTTGTTGGTGGTGTTGTTGGTGTTGCTGTTGCTGTTGTTGTTTGTTGTTTGTTGTTTGTTGTTTGTTGTTTGTTTGTTGCTTGTTGTCGTCGTCCCCGCCGCGACCCGGCCCGCGACTCACCCGCGACCGACCCGCGACCCACCCGCGACCCACCCGCGACCCGGCCTTTGACCGACCCGCGACCCGCCCGCGACCCACCCCACGACCCGCCTGCGACCCGCCCGCGACCCACTCGCGACCCACCCGCGACTTGGCCCGCGACGCACCCGCGACCCATCCGCGACCTACCCGCGACCCATCTGCGACCCACCCGCGGCCGCGCCCGCAACCCACCCGGGATTCAATCCGCGACGAAGAAATCGGCGCCTGCTGCGAGCTCGTTTCTTTTAATTCGGCGCCTGCGGGGACCTTCTTCAGAGCCTCGCAGACCGCCGGCAGTCCCGCCGCCCCCTCGCTCTTATCCGCAACTGCGGGGTGCTAAGTACCTGTTTCCACAGATGCATCTGACCTCGTGCGCTTGATGGAGCACGTCGAGTGTTGCCGCCCACTCTCCTTCCACCGGTGAGTGTAGGCGTGCAGCTGTGAGCCTGTGCACGGTTGGGGCCTGCCAGAACCTGAGCGCACGCGAAGCAACGGCACCCAGGGCGGCCTACTTTTCCAAACCTCTCCCCCCCCCCAAGCAGACAGACAAGTCGGGCCGCAGGGAACAGCGGGCCTTCTCAGGGCCCCGGAAGGCTCGCTGGCCCTCGAGAGGCCTCCGCGACGGCCGCGGGGACGGCAACAAGCTGCCAAGGCGGCCCAAGACGGCCTAAAAGATGGCTCGAAGATGCCGCTGATCCCCCATCCATCCTTAGGTCGGGCATGTCTCCCTACAGGCGGATTTTGGAGGAAAAAAATGAAAAATAGTCAGAACACATTCAAGACTGGTGACAACAAATGTAGAAAAACAGTCCCCAGACTCTTTCTTGACTATGTTTTGATATTCCTCCTGCAGAGGCACAGGCCCGACTTCAATCCATCCTTATCCGCCCTCTTCCTCTGCTGGACCATGTGCACCAGCTTGCGCACTGCCGATCTCTGCCAGAGCGGTCTGAGTGGGCGCGCGATGTCCACCGCCGCTCTTCGGTGAGGCCGCGTCTGCTGCCGGATACGATTTCGCGCAGGTGGTCAGGCCCCCTCCTGCGGTGCGCCTGTGTGTGCGAGGTGTCCACTTGCGATCCCAGAGGGGCTCCCCGCGGCAGTGCAGGAGGAAGAGGACACGCACGCAGGACGAGGAGCTCGATGAGTTTGGAAAAAGAGCTGCGGGAACACTGTCGTGAGCGCTCGGTATGGATAAGCGTTGCACACACGTAATGGCAAACATGGCGCGCATTGGCGTAGCGCGGCATCCACTTGCATAGCATTGCAGACCGCACAATGGCGTTGCCCTGCGCAACAATGAGTACATAACATAGGGCTACCAGACAGCACCGTGCAGCTCATTACATCGCACAGCATTGGATTGCGTAGTTGGCGTCACATACTCGCGCATATCATAGTATGGCGCACCTCGGCATTACACAGCACATACCGCAGCATAACGCAACGCAGCATATTGGGGAGCGCTGTCACGCTGTATCTGTCCTGGCCCATGACTGAGCGACGTGGCACATGACTGTCCGGTCACCTGTTGATCTCTCGGAACAGCGAAGAGGAGGAGAAAGAGGAGGAAAAAGAGGAGGAGTAGCAGGAGGAAAGCGGAGGATCATTTGGCAACGTTGAAGGAGCCGGAGGAAGGAAGGATGGAGCAGGAGGAGGAGGAAAGAGCAGGAGGAAAGGAGGAGGAAAGAAGGAAACATTGAGCGGGAAACACATTTGGCATGACAAGGAGGAAACGTTGAGCGGGAGACACATTTTGCATGACCATTGTGCTACTTCAGCGCTGCATCGACTAGGAGCTACGCGCACATGAAGCGAGTGGTTCCAGTATATTCAATATACATATATACATATATGTGTGTACATATATCTATATATGTGCACGTGTATATACATACATATACACGTGTATGTAAGAATACATGTGCTTACACACATATATATAACTATACAGAGAGAGAGAGTGAGAGAGAGAGATCGGCGATGTATGGCCGTTTCCGGGTGGATGTTTCCCCCCCTGAGCCAGTCCCCCCCGATCGTTGCCCCTGATACTTTCGTCTTGCACCCCGCCCCTCGTGGAGGCGGTGCAGCAGTGTGGCGCCGGCGCGCTCGACTACGCGGACCCGGGGCTGCTGGCGGGCCGCCAGTTCTTGTTGTCGGCCGTGCGGCTGAGCCCCTCGGCGCTGCTGCGCGCGCCGCGCGAGCTGAGGCCCCACGGGCTCCACGACGACCACGACGACGAGTGCGACGACGATGTGTGGAACCAGCGACGACAGAGGCGGCGGCGGCGGCGGCGACGACGGCGACCACAACGACGAGGGCGACGATGATTCGTGGAACCAGCGACGACGAAAGCGGCGACGGCGGCAGCGGCGGCGACGACGAGGACGGCGGCGGCGGCGGCGACGGCGCCCGCGCCCGAGCCCCCCGCGCAAGCGTCGGTGGGCACCTCGGTGGGGACCTCCGCGGCCTCCGCGCGCGCCTCTCCGCAGGCCCTGGTGTCGCAGTCGCGCCGGGCGTTTTGGCCCAGGGTCGGGCCCATGGATCCCTCGCAGATCGATGTGGCTCAAGAGCCGTGGCAGGCCCCCCCTCCCCCTGGATGATTCCTCTCGGCGCTGGACCCTTCGGCCAAGCCGCCTGGAGACGAAGTCGTGCTCGAGACGGCTCTGTTGAATGGGCTCAGCGCGGACGTTCCTTCCTCCTTCGTCCCTCCTCCCATCTCCCTCCTCTTCCCCTCCCCGTTCTCCCCCCTTCTTGCGAGCGCGCGCGGGGGAGGGAGGGAGGGAGGAGGGGGTCCACGTGAGCCCGCCCGCCAGGAGCGACGAGGGCTTCCTGCTCGAGGCGCTGAGGGTGAACGCGGCCGCTCTGGACCACATCCCCGGCGACCTGTTCTCGCGCGGCTTCGTGCTGCAGGCCATGCGGCAGCAGAGGATGGCGGTGCTGCAGCGCGCCCCTGCCAGCCTCTGCGGCGACCCGCAGTTCATGCTGCAGGCACTCCTCCGTCTCCCTCTCCTCGATGTTTTTTGTTCGGCCCTACTCCTCCTCTTCCTCCATTCTTTTGTCTTATAACTCCTCCCGGTCGCCCCGAGACGTGAAGGTAGGGCGGTCCGGGCGTTTTGCATGAGATTCCCTCACCTTTCATGATCCTGAAGCTTGGAATTTGCAACAGCTTCACGGATGGAGGGCGGGTCGCTTTTAAAGTGAGGCTCTCGCCTGAGAGCCGCGCACACTCGTTTTGAAAGTTTGCAAGAGTTACACGGATTGAGGGCGGATTGAGGTTGCCTTAGCGCTGCGCCCACTCGTTTTTGTTTGTTTTGTTTTTGTTTGTTTGTTTGTTTATGCGATTTTTGGCACGGATGCAGGGCGGCTCCTTTTCAAAATGTGGTTCTCGCCCCAGCGCCGCGCACATTAGCTCTAAAAGCTTGCAAGAACTTCACGGATGGAGGGCGGCTTTTTTCCAACATGCGGTTCCCGTTTTAGCGCCGTGCACATTCGTCTTAAGAGGTTGCAGCAGTTTCAAGGGCTCTCATGTGGGATTGTCAGGTCGCAACAGTTAGTTTGATTCGCGGTGCTGAAGTCCCAGGAACGGTGTTCTGGCACGATTCAGGACCGTCAAGACGCAACAGGAAGGCATGGAAGTCCCAGGGGTGGTGCTCTAGCACGGCTTAGGATTTTCAACGGTTGTCTTCCAACGGGGCATTTCTTGCAGTGGTGATAAATCCCTTGTACGGGCTGACAATGGGAGAGCTTGAAAGGATGGTTTATTGCAACATCGTTCTTAGCAGGTGATCGAGATCAGGGCATCGGCCTTCGCGTACGCCTCGGAGAGTCTGCATTGCGACCCTGGGTTCGCGCTGGAGGCCGTTTGCATCAACAGCAAGGCGTGGGAGGTTGGGAATATGCCCCCTCGGAGCCAGGCGAAGGAGGAGTAGGAGGGGGAGGGGGAAGCGGAGGAAGAGGAGAAGAAGGAGGAGTAGGAGGAAACGGAGGAGGGATATCAGGAAGAAGAGGAGGAGGAGGAGGAGGAGCAGGAGGATGAGGAGGAGGAGGAGGAGGAGGAAGGGGAATATGGGATGAGAGGAGGGCAGTGGGATGAGCAGGGAGCAGGAACATTCTGAGTGGGTGGAGGAGCAGGAAGAGGAGCAGGAGGAGGAGGAGGAGGGCAAGCAGAAGGATTGGAGGAGGAGGAGGAGGAGGAGGAGGAGGAGGAGGAGGAGGAGGAGGAGGAGGAGGAGGAGGAGGAGGAGGAGGAGGAGGAGGAGGAGGAGGAGGAGGGGGGGGGAGAAGGACGACGACAATAATAAGGAGGAGGTGGAAATGAGGAGGATAAGGGCGATCGGCGAGGGTGATACATGATGTTCGTGTTGCTGATGACGGTGATGATGTTGTTTTGGAGGTGGTGGTGGTGATGACGACGATGATGATGATGATGATGATGATGATGATGATGATGATGACGATGACGATGATGATGATAATGACGATGACGATGACAATGACGATGACGATGACGATGACGATGACGATGACGATGACGATGATGATGATGATGATGATGATGATGATGATGATGATGATGATGATGATGATGATGATGATGATGATATTGATATCGGGTTGAATTGTGAAAATGATTGTGATTATGACTAGGACTATGACTATGGCGATGCTTCTGCTGCTGCTGATGATGATGGTGGTGATAATGGTGATGATGCTGCTGACGATGCTGATGATGATGGTGAAGGTGATGATGATTCTTGGACCGCGGATGGGGATGATGATGTTGTTGGTGATGGTAGTTGATGAATTGATGATGCTGATGGCGAGGATGATGGTACTGCTGCTGATGATGATGACGAGGAGGAGGAGGAGGAGGAGAAGGGTTTGGATATCTCTTATGTGAGTGAAGGTGCTGCAGCTTCTGCCCGAGAGCCTCAAGCATGACACGACCTTCATGCTGCGCGTGCTGGCCAAGGCCCCTGCGCTGTGGGCGGACCTGCCCGAGGCCCTGCTGTCCAACGAGACGTTCATGCACGCCGCGACCTGGCAGCACCCCGCCCTGTGGGAGCGCGTGCCGGAGCACCTGCGGCGCAACCGCGGCTTCATGCTCCAGGCCTCGGGCGGACGGCAACGGAGGGGGGGCAATACGGTCGCGAGTTCTTGTACAGCGCGTCGTTCCGCCGGCTCTGGCCCGTCACGCTTTGGAGCGACGCGTTGTCCATGTCCGAGGTCCCCAGGCTTCAGCGTCCCGAGCATTCCCGAGCCTCCCGCCCCACGGAGCGGAGCGACACGCCATCCGCTTGCAAGGCATAAAGTGTCGCCAGGGCCGCCGCGGCAACACGCTAAGCAAAAGCCCTTGACCGTAAACGTACAGTGGGGGCGCGCATCAAGAAACCATGTGCTTTTCGTCAGGGTACCCTGGGTTTCTTCGCTCCGCGCGCTGCGCGGTGACTTCCCGCGGCCGTTGAAGAAGCTGCTGCGTTCAGGGTGCTCTGGATTCCCCCTGTGTGCATCTCGCGCGCGGGCTTCCAGGGCTTGGCCTCACGCGAGGGTCTCTTGCAGCCGCGTCCGCATGGTAGGGGGATCGAGGCTTGCAGGAGAGTGGCCTCACAGGGGCCCTAAACGGCCCCTGAGTCATGGGCCTGTCTTCCATCACCACCCACCACCACCATAAGTTGGAGGGGGGAAGGAGCTGGGTTGAGGAGGAGGAGGAGGAAGAAGAAAAGGAGGAGGAGGAAGACCCCTCCGCCTCCTGCTTGTGGTGGTGGCGGTGGAAAACAAGCCCACCACTGAGCTGTCACCGCGGGCCCAGAAACTGCACGGCAGGTTCGCCCCACGTTCATTGCCCCCCCCCCCCCCTCCCAGGAGGAGGAGGAAGAGGAGGAGGAGGAGGAGGAGGAGGAACCCCTCCACCTCCTCCTTTCGGGAGGAGGAGGAGGAGGAGGAGGAGGAGGAGGAGGAGGAGGAGGAGGAGGGGGAGGAGGAGGAGGAGGAGGAGGAGGAGGAGGAGGAGGAGGAGGAGGAGGAGGAGGAGGACCCCCCCTTCGGGTGTTTCCAGAAGTGCCCCTGACCCGAGGTGCCACCCAGAATTTCCAAGGAGGCCCCACGGCCTTCAGACCACCCCCCGCGAGGCCCAGAGGGCCCCGGGGGATCCGGCATTGAGGAGCTGAGGGCACCTTGGGCGAGGGAGGGCACCTCTAGCACCCCACGACTCAGGAGGGGAAAAAACACACAGACACAATTAATCGTCGATTCCCAGGAAAATGTGCAAAAATATGGGAAGTGGGGGGGAAGACAAAAACCCCAAAAATATTTGAAAATGTGGGGAATGTTTTATTTGTGTGTATTTATTTGTGTGTCCTGGGGCCCCTTTAACGACCCGCTCGCGAACACCCGACAGGCCGTGCGGCGCGACGGCCTGCTGCTCCGGAAAGCCTCCGCGGGCCTCCGCGAGGATTGGGAGCTCGTGGTCGAGGCGGGGCTGGGGGAGGCAGGAGCTCGTCGTCCTCCCGCCTCCTCGTGGGCGGGAGACGTGTTCACGTGCGCGCTCGTGGGCGGGAGACGTATCCACGTGCGCGCCCCCCCATGCTTACAGGGGCGGCTTGGCACGGATGCCCCGCGCGGAGCGTGTCCACGCGATCGGGCGTCCACGGGGTCGCGCCCCAGAATCCAGAACGCGGAGGCCTGGACGTGGACATGCTCATCGCTCGTCAGCGCCTCCTCTTCCGCTCTGCCATCGGCTCCTTCTGGAGCGTGAGGCCGCCACCACCGCGCGAAGAGGGCTTCATGTCCTAGGTGAGGCTCCCTCCTTCGTCTTTATCCGCACCCACTCCCGGAGACGGAACAAGAGAGGGCTCGCCGAGGACTTTGCCGACCTTCGGTGTGAATTCAGTGGCTAAGTTTCCTCGAGCCTGGAATTCGAACCGTGTGGTCGAGCCTGTTGCTATCGTGCCCCCGCGGGAACACGCCCCCCCGCGGGAACACGACCACTCCACCCATGACCCGTGAGGCATGTGCCGGAACGGGCGGGGGGACGCCATGCGAAATTGCCAATTGATGCCAGCTTCCCCTCTGGCGCACTGAGTGCAGTTACTTGCGGGGCACGATCTGCGTGAGGGTGTGCCGCTATGCGAGTGTTGTCTTTGGGGCCGTAGGTGTAGCTCCTCGTGGGGCACTGTCCTTGTGCGGGTGTGCCGAAATGAGTGGGTCACGGGATGCGAACCTGTCGCTGTGGAATTCTTTGATTGGCACGCTCCGTGCGAAGGACGTGCCGAAATCAGCGGGTGGGCACCATTGCGATATGTATGCCCTTGATCGCGCAGATGGTCTGATGTGGTGATCGTGGTGGGATGGTGTGCGTGCCCCTCTGCTGATTGATGTGTCGCTGGCTTTGCCTGGGCTAGAACCTAAGCGCGCGAAGCGCGCGCGTGGATTTGGTATCCATGCCCGCCGCATGCCGAGGTCCCCGAAGATCGATCCCCTGGGCGGTGGTTATGTGTAAATCCCCGCCTCGCTGCGAGTCACGAGTTATCCACAGCAGAGAAGTCGCCGGGTTGGCTCGGGAGCGAAAGGGAACCTTCAGCGGTGACCGGCCGGATTTCCAAATTGACATGGCCTGTCGAATGTCAGCCAACTGGCGCGGCGCACGACTCGCGCGCGGGGCCCTCAGTGTTGCCAACAGCAGAGCAGTCGCTTGCCCTGCAGGGGCACTATAAGGAACCTTAGCGGCGACAGCCTGTGCCGAGGCGGTGAGGCAGAACCACCGCGCGTTCGACTTCGCCGCGGACAGGCTGCGGAGCGACTGGAACCTGGAGCTGGTGGCCCTGAGTCGCGGCGGGGGCGGCGGCCACGGCCCAAAGCGGTGCCCCGGAGACGCCTGCTGCGTCCAAGAATAGTCCACCCTCACAGGTTCAGGGGGAGCAACGGGATTCGGGGCTTCTCGGCACATCACAGAGATGGCGAGGCCTGCGTGCTCGCCGTCAGCACTGGTCTGGTCAAGGCGCTTCGGGAGAGGGCCATACATCCCACGGAGCCGCTGGCCCGAGTCGGACATCGAGACGAGGCCCAGGGGGAGGCAAACTCTCGGCCTCCCAGGCCACGGCCCTGGCCCTGGCCCTCCGCCCCAGCCCTCCGCCAGAGCCCCGGCCCCGATCCGGGCCCGGCCCTCCGCCGGAGCCCGGGCCCTGGCCCAGCCCTTCGCCGGAGCCTCCGCCGTGGCCCGGGGGCTTCTGGCGCCGGCGCCGGAGCTCCGGGCCCGCCCGGGGCGAGCCGGGCCCACTATTTGGTGCTTTTTTGGGGACGACTTGCTACTCCAGACTTCGTAATAAAGGGAGGGGGGTCTCATTTCGGGGGGGGGTCTCTTCCAGGCTATCTTGGAGGGCCTGGGGGTCTGGGGACGATGTTGTGGAGGGTTCTCCCACGGGGGAGGTCTGAAATGGCTTGTCTTGGAGGGTCCAGACCCCCTCCCTTTTATTACGACATCTGGAGTACCATTTAGGACCATGTGGTGACATTCCTCACCATTCGGATACATGTGGTACCAAGTCGACCATGTAACAACTCACTCCCATGTAGCAGCATGAAATCCAAGTTAAAAGCACGTGGTGCCACGTAATACCATGTAGCAGAATTCAGCACACCTGGGCCGCTCTGGCGGAGGGATGGGGCTGAGGGGCCTCGGCTCTAGCCCTCTTCAGCGCCAGCTCTGGATTCATTCAGCGCCAGCGCTGGGTTCCTTCAGCGCCAGTGCTGGGGCCCCGGGTCCGCCCTGGGCGAGCCCAGGGCGGGCACACGAGTGCCATTTAATGTTGTGTAGTACCATTTCGTACCACTTAGCACGATCTAGTACCATTTAGTATTATACGATCTTGTGCGCGACCACTTGTAATTATTTATCCCGTCCATTACCACGTAGTACCATGTAGTACCATCTCGCACATCTGCTGCAACGACATTGGCGCGTAAACTGTCCATGTAAGGTCGCGCGCAAGCGCCCCCGTTTCCAGAGCGGCGTGCTGTGCTGCCGCCCCGCGTAAGCCATTGCGTAAGGTCGCTGCGTCATCTTGCGCAAGACCCGTTTAGTTCCGTAACTCAGATGGGGTCGGAGTAGATGGGGTCGGAGGATCCCGCCTCATCGACGATGCATCGGCGATGCGGCTCGATGTGAGGCCCGATTTCTCCATGCTGACGTCGCCGATGCATCGCCGATGCCGTGCAATCTGCTCGGACCCTATCTAAGAGGCCTATAGGATTTGGGGGGATATCGTGGCCGGGCCTTGAACAGGAGGAGGGGGAGGAGGAGGAAGACGGAGAGGAAGAGGAGGAGGAGGAGGAGAAGGTTTGGCCTGAGAACAAGGTTTCTGGCAGGCCTGACCTTACGCGTGTGCGTCCAGCGACGCGCCGCAGCTGCCTTGCGTTAGTGTCCGCTCTCGCTCTCGCTCATCACGTCGGGTTCTTCAGAGCCCCCTTGGCATCGCAGAGCACGCCATCTTGATTCACAAGCACACACCCTCACACAGGTCCATCAAGTATATCATCAGTTGCAGTTGCACTATTCACCGCAGCAAACATATATTGGACAAGAACCACTGCGAGGATGGCGCATACCTATATGAGATTGTCCTTCCTGTGGGAGATACGCTCGTGGGCACCAGCAGTGTTCATGCGGACGCAGGTATAGCAACTACCCGCCGCCAAGACAGAACCCCAGACCAGGACCAAAGGTAATGTCTCGTCCAGGCAGCAGGTCCAGAGTGCAGCAGTTTCCGGAGAGAGAGAGAGAGAGATCCGCACATATCTATCGACGTTTGCACCTATGACGAAGGAAAACGCACAGCGGGAACAGTGGTTCTGACCTTTCGTGGGCGGCACAGGCCAGCACAAGTACAGGCTGGAAGTTCGGCAGCTATTGACAGACCTAGCCGTTTTGGCGTTGACCAATCATGGGGCAAAGGACGACGACCTTGCGACCCTGCACGACAGAAAGATACCCGTCCACAGGTGTATGATGCAGACCACCCAGCCTCTGCACAAACAGAGGGACGAGTACAACGACAATCTCGAGAAAGCCATGCGCAGACTCGAGTCTACACAGAGCCAGATCCGAGATTTCGAGGCCATGGAGACCGATAGCGCCGACGACATCGCCAAGCTCAGAGTATGCATCCAAGAGTTACAAGACATGATATAAAAAAGGACGTGGTCATGGCACAAGCCGCCGCCGCCCAGCATCAGCAGGATCAGCATGGACCGCCTTTGCAGCCGTTCCCTGGGAAACATGAACAGCATGGGCAGGCTGGTGGACCTTCCAGGCCTTCGCCGCCCGCGCCGCCGCCACTCTTGCCTCCACATCCTCAGCCTCAGCCTTCACACGTCGAACAGAACGGGCAGGCCAAACAGCTAACGGAGCTGAGAAAGAGATCTCCGTAAGTATGGCGAATCGGCAGAACGATACGAACAGAGTACTTGGTATGACGATGGGCGCGGTGCAGTAACAACAGCAGCAGCAGCAGCAGCAGCAGTTGTTTCAGCATCAATACCCACCGCCGCCGCATGCCGAACCGCACCAGAAGCCACAGTTACCTACGGCAGAACAGGTCGATGTTGCGCAACCGTGGATCAGCACGTGCGCCCGGACCAGGTACGAGTGCCATGGCACCTGCCTCGGGGTTTCGTGTGTCAGCCGGTGGGGCAGCGGCCTTGGAGCCGTGGAGGCGCCAGTGCCTGCTGCGCCAATCGGGAAGACTCTCATTGCTGGATGTCCCACGCCAAAGCCAGGGAAGTAACATTTGCGGAGATGAAAAGGGAGTTGTTCGGAGTCTCGCCGACGGAGTCTTTCTCACCGATTCCGCCGCACCCAGCTCCTCAAGCATCGCAGCTTTTGCACAGAGCCAGGGGGGCAGATAGCAGGTCCCTCACTCATCTTCCCTGGGCACAGCGCCATCGACATCGATGTAGACGGCATGACCTCACAGGACATCAAGGCGGAGATGGCGAAGACCGAGGCGGCCCACGCAGGGGCACCGAATTCGGCGTCGTCAGCGTCGGGAGGCACGACTAAGAGATCTCCTCTCCCCAAGTTGCCCAGGCAGTCTTGAGCAGTCAAGATCATCAACGGCCTTTGGGCGCACATGTTGGAGAGGCGAATGACAGGGGGGACTGCGCGCACGGCCAAGAAGTGCTGACACATTTCTTTGATGTCCAACATCAAGTAACACACCGGCCACTGCGAGAGCCTAGATGTGGGCAGGTCGACACAAAGGGATGCATCGCTGGGGGCGAGCCTCCACTGCCCCGGTAATCTCCCGAGTCGCTCTTTTTCCGATGGCACGTTGGGGCGCGGCCGTGCTGCTAGCAAAGGGATCCACCCTTGCAGTGCGTTTACTCCCCTCGGCTCCAAAGGGTCCTCCGAGCTGCTGACGGGGTCCCGTCACGCACTGGGGTGGGCGCAGCCTGGGAAACAACCGCCGAAACAAAACATGTTGGAAAGGAGCGTGCCATTTCTTGCTTAGCACCTGCACTTCAGGAAACGGGAAACTCTCCAGGTTCTCGCAGCCCCCCCAGCACAAAGGGGGTTGCGACTTTTCCTGCCATGGGGCGAGTCTGCTGCGACTCGCATCTTTTGGCCGGCATCGCGTCGGCAAGCGTGGCTCCTGGGCGTCCGCGCGACAGCAAACAGTTAAATCGCGCCTGTCCGTCGCCCTGCGCTCGCCTGCATTCGACCGTCGACGGTCAGCCGACAATTCGCGAGGCGCAGCAGGAGCTCGAGAACGAAGAGGAAAGGCCGAACGAACATTCAGTTGGCGACGCACCACCGCGCGCCAACTCCCGCCCCGCCCGCGAGACCTCGCGAGCAGAGGCTGAAATATCCAGTCAGTGAGGGAAGGCCGGCGCCCACCACAACGGGCGAGGCCACGATCCGCGGGCTTGCGCTCGCGAGGCCCCCCCCCCCTTGGACCCCCAAAAAGACGTTGACTCCGCGGCCCCCTGCTGCTCGGGACCTCAGACTTCATCCCAGGAGGGGAGTCGTTGACCCCGAGGCGCTGCGCCGCCGCGCCGACGGATCCCGCGCGGCCAACGCGGGGGCGGCTAGGAGAGTTGTCCGGCGACCTGGGCCGTTGTCAGGGTCGCCGAAGATAGCGAGGATCACCGCGCCTTCCGGGGCCGATGGGCTGGCGCGTCGATTGACGCATGCAGATCTGACCAGCACAGGACTAGGCTGGACAGCACAGATGCGGAGCTCCCCGGCTACGCATGGGCCCGCATTGCCATCTTGGAGGCACGGAGAGACCTGAAGGCGCAAGTGTCCAGATCTGGTCTGACTCGCTCGCTTCCGTCCAGCTCGTTTTAGGACAGGCCACCCCTGCGCCGGACAGTCAGCTTGCTGGGCTTGCGGCCGTTGTTTTAGCGGTCACCGCTGCCTGTTGCCAGCCCATCATGCACCGCGCTTGCGCTCGCGACGAGCGCCCGCGCAACGCATCGGCAGACGACGCGGCGGAAGGCGCCTGTCAAAAGAGACATAGCACCCGCGGCTTTGTCCAAATATGTTTTCGGCATCACGCATTGTGAAGGCCGCGGGTGGAGGCGGCTGAGAGAGCGGGCCTCGCGCGACCTCCCTGTCGCCCCCGAGCATGCGCGCAATTGCATTCCCATTCATCCCCCACCGCAGCTCGCCCCCTTTGCAGATTGCCCGAAACGAGAAGTCAGGGCGCAGAGCAAAATTGACCCCTCGCTTTCTGGCGCGCTTAGATGCCAGATCTCTTCACGCAACACTAGGACATGGTAAACTGCACATGGCTGGGGTTCAGGGGGCTCGGAATCTGCCAGGCATCAGGATGTCGGGGCCCACTGCGATCGTTAGCCCACGCGCTGTAGGGGGGGGGGGGGGCTGGGCTGCGAGTTTCGGCCACTTTGGAATGATCCACTGCCGGGGGAAAAAGCAAGACCTTGCATTTAAAGAGGCAAGACCTCCCTGCGCTCCATGCGGACCCCTGGCGTCCGATCGTCTCAATCAGGTCGCCCGCCCTTTCCGTCGAGGCAGCGGCCCTGCGTGCGCCCCGCATTGGGCGCAAGATTAATGCCGTGCAGGAGTTCTGGGAGGGCACCTCTATGCTCTTTGTTGAGTGGGGCGTTGGGTTAGTGTTTGCTGACGCCAACGCCAGGTTTGGTTGCGTCACTTCTCGCTGGGTTTGGGGGGGGTGTCGGCGTGGGTTCAGGACTCGCCTGGAGAAATGCATCATAGCGCGGCGGCTAGTTGCTAGCTGCATCTGACCAGCGCCGGGGCGTCCCAGCCGATGGCGCACCTACACGGCTAGAGGGATCATCAACATAGGGGCGACTATGTGGCGGGGAACGATTTCATAATGGGTGGAGTAAAAAGGTGAAGGTGCGACCCGACTTTGACTTGCCAACGAAAGTCTGGCCACGCACACCCCTGCAGGTCTCATCGAGCTGGGCACAAGCCGTGGCAAGGGCAAAAGAGGACTGAAGACACTTCGGTGGCATGCTTGCACCTGAGAGTGTGCAAACGTCCATTGATGATCACATCGCCGACAAAGAATAGGCCGCTCTCGATCGCGCGGGGGGGTCGCCGCCCTGGCCGCGACGGGTCTAGGCGGGGAACCGGCCGAGTCTGCGACGCAGATTGCCCAGGTGGCCCAGGAACCTTTTTGCCGCGGTTGAGCTGGCGGGGCAGAAAGACTTCCCGGGAGCCGTCGGGGAGTATAATATAATGTTTCAGTTGGTCGCGCCTGCAGATAACGCATCGCCGCGCGCCCCCCCCGCGAATTCCCGCGCGGCGCGAGGGGCCGCTAGCTTGCACGGCGGGCCGTGCTAGGCATTTCTGCAATGGAAGTGGAGCCGTGGATAAGTTGCACCCCCCCGAGACATGCGCTGCTCGGTCGCACTTCGAGCAAGTTGTTTCACGGGGGCCTCAGACAGCAAGCCGCCGCGCTCATCCACGCCTCGCCCCTGCCCACCCAATGCGGGGGCGGCCCGGCAGAGGGTCGAAGGGCGCCCAGGTGCTTGCAAGACAGTTCTGGGCGGCCACCGCGACATATTATCTTGCGCCGCCATTTTTCTCGCCTTCCACTTGGCGTTCCACGCAGCTCTTGGACAGCTCGCCGTCTCGGTCCTGATCGAGGCTGGAAGGTTAGACGTCGCGCTGCAGCAGTTGGAGATTACCCCCCCCCCCCCCCCCTCTTTGAAGCGGGCAGTAAGACCATGCTCGAGCTCGAGACCTCCTGGGACTCTGCTGAAGCCCCCGCGCACCTGCTGGGCCACCTCAAGGGGAGCCATTCTGGAAGCCTTTGGAACGTTTGAGGAGCCGAGAAGTTCGCGCGCCCCGCCCGTGGATCCAGGCCGGGGGCTGCCCCAGAGACGGACGCGTTCAACGCCATTTCTGCCGGCGCGCAAGGGGGCACTGAAGCAAGTGCCAAACGGCGGGGCTTTATTTCGCCACGGAGGGAGACGTTGCGAACGCACATGCCAGTGCACCATATGTCGACGACTTCTCAGTCCGAACAGCAGGTAGCGCTTGTCATATTGGACAGCAAGCGAGAACGCTCGTGGATATCATTGTTGCCAGAGGTACAGACTTCAGGCTAACTTAGACAAAACTGTCGCTATGAATGCTTTCCGTGGTGAAGGGGCGAAAGCACAGAAGGTCCGTTTCTACGCTTGGGGAGAGGCCACGATGAAAAGCTTTCGTTTTGAGCATGAGTTGTCTTTTGCGCTGGCCCAGGCGGCCCCCGGTTCCCGCTTTTCCGATGCGGGTTGCCTGGATGACCGCCGCCAGATCTGCCCTAAAACCAATTAAGAAGATTATGGCCCCCTTTTCTCTGCTGGTGGCCACGCATAAAATAAGGAATTGCGAAGCTTGCGCAGGGTCAAGGTCGCGATTGGCCGCCTCGCGTTGGGGTCCTCTCCCCAAGCTCCTGCGCGACAAGATTCGCGCGGCGCATGTTGCTCTTTATCGCGCTGCGCTCAACAAGGGGTGGGTCCACTCTGGGCTGAACATGAGTCAAAGGTGCGCGTCGTGAATATAATCCAGAGGCTTCCTACTGACGTTGGTTTGAGCATATCCCGCCACCGCTTCCCCCCTCGCCCCCACTTGCCCAGGCCCTCCTTGACTTGCGGTGGGGACAGGGATGCAGTCTTTGTATTACTTGGCACTTTGAGTGGCCCAGGAGTTCGCTTGAACAAGGAAGCGACAGTCAAAACTCCCTGGACCAGGTACTCGCCGAGCTTGCCGGGAGTGAGCGCAAGTCTCAGGTCTCTCTCGAGGGCCGCCGCTGCTGCCAGGCAGGAATGGTTTCGCTTCTATGCTAGCGCTGACTGGAGGGCCCAGCGCAGGGAAGTGCTACAGGGCGTTGTGGCGCGAGCACCCTTGACAAACATATGTGGCGTATACACACACAGCCCTTTTTCCTCGCGCTGCGTTCTCAGGGCTCAGGTTGAATCCGAGGCTACCCCCGACCCTTGACCGAGCTTGCTTGTTCAAGGGCTTGGGCTCTTGTGATACGAGTGTGGCTTCGCGGGTCGCACTGCGCGAGCCCTTAGGGCTCGCCGTGCCAAGTTTCACGGGCACGGGCAGCGGTTGCCCTGTTTGCTGGATGCAGTGTTGGGTCGGTGCGCGACTGCTCAAGCGCGCGCACACTGCGAGCGCTTGCAGAGAGGGCTTGGCACAATCTTCGCTCCGACCTTCGCAGACAGAACTTGAGAATGCCATCGAAGAACGCAGGAAGAAGGCCAGGGACAACAAGGGACAGGGGAAGTCGGAACACTTCGCGTCGGTCCCTGCTCAGGATCCAGGGCCCCCCCCCATCCAGTGTTTTGCAGGCTCATAACGACGCGCTCGTCCTTGCTGAGCCCACTGCTGTCATTCAAGACGTGCAGAGTTTTGTCACTATGTTCCATTCCCCGCCTCATCTTTTCAATGAGCGCCCTTGTGTTCTCATCCTCGGGCCGAGTGAGAGAAAGGATTGGGACCTGCAGGGGTGTCTGTAATGTGCATACAATAGTGGACGGCCGAGCGTTTCCGTCACTGCTCCAATTTCCTGTGCCGCAGAACTGCGCAAGCGAGGTGGACTCAGGGGCGTAAGGGTGGTTTGTTCCGTGCCGCTGTTTGCCTCGGAGAATGAACAGATATGACTGCCAGCTCCCATGTTGATGCATGCGAAGGTTACACGGGTTCCATACGTTGCTGCGTTGCCCAACGGGCCGGTGATTAAGCCTGCTATGCTTCCAGGGTTTCGTTGTCTCAGTGTTGTTGGTGACTCCACCGAAGTGCAAGTTGTCATGTGCCTGTTCGGAAACCCTTATCTCATCCCCTTCGTTGTTGTCTCAGCGCGGTTGCCCTCCATCGGCGGTCTGTCTGCGCATGTGGGGGGATGTGGCAGGTGTCGGCACACGTGCAGTCATAGTGAGGGCAGTGGGAATTCTCCGCTACCGCGGAACTGTCAGACGCAATTGTCCACGCGCCTCTCTTTTGATATTGTGTCTGATGGGGGTGGACCGTGGACCTTGTACGTTGCCGAGTTTCTTGGAGGATGTCGTGCTGCCGACCCCGATGGCAGTCGGACCTGAGTAAGCCTTTGCTCGTCTCCTCCTCTTTTGCACGTTTAAGAGGCGTGTTGTCATGTACTGGCTTAGCCTTTTTTTTATTTTTCCTGATTGCACAGGTTTCAGACGTATTGGCCTTTAGGTAGCGAGCGAGCGAACGAGCGAGGAGGGGAAGGAGGAGGAGGAGGAGGGCGAGGGCGCCAATCCTACGGGTGCTTGCCCGCAGCGTCAATATTCGAGGAGGAGGAGGAGGAGGAGGAGGAGGAGGAGGACGACGACTACGTCGAGGATGTCGAGGCCGAGGCTGAGGTCGAGGATGACGGCGACGAGCAGGCCGAGGTGCAGGGGCGAGGGAGGGGCTGGCGAGGGAGAGACTCGCCCAGGCGCCAGGCGGCGCGGAGGCGTCTCCCGAACAACATGCGGGAGGCGCTGGCAGAGGCGGAGCGGTTCCTCGACTCCAAGCTGAAGGCCGAGCTCGGCGACCCTCCCCCCCCTCCACGAGAGGCCTCCCAGATGCAGGA